CTATCTACAAGTTTCCAGGAAGAAATCTTATGGCCTAGATCACTTCACTAGAGAATACAGCACTGTAAAACATTTAAATACTGCACGCCCTGTCCCAGGCAAGGTAGATTTACACTGCAAATCAAACAATGTAAGGCACATCAACAGGCTAATATAATAAAATCAGTCTTCTCCAGTAGTACAAAGTGCTTTATAAAATCTAACACTACTCATGATAAAAACTTAGCAATCTGCAAATAAAGATAAAACTTCATCTTTTTACAGAGCATCTATAAAATACTTGCAGTTACTGATTAAATTTAATGATTAAAGATAGAAAGCTTTTTTTTCCTAAGACTAGAAACAATGTATGGATGTCTGCTCTTGTCATTCTTACTAAATGTAAGTAGTAAAAGTCCTAGCTATTACAACAGGGCAAGAAAAAGAAAGAAAGCATAGATAAGAAATAAAATAAAATAAAATAAAATAAAATAAAATTCCCCTGTTCCTTACTTGCAGATTGCATGACTATCTATGTGGATCTTCCAAGAAATCTAGGAAACAAAACTGGAACTACGTTCAGTAAAGTTTCAGGAAACCAAGATCAATACACAAAAGCCAACTGCATTTCTATATACTAAAAAGGAATACAAGGAAACTGAAATGAAAAACACATTACTATGAAATCCTCCCAACACTTGAAGTATAAATCTAAAATCAACAAACGATGTACAAGCTCTATTTCCTGAAAATTATAAGACCCCAGTGAAAGAAACCCAAGTACCTGTACACCTAAATACTTACAAGAGCCATACTTGTTCACGGGTTCTAAGACTCAGCAAGGTGAAATATAAAAATGACAGTTCTCCCCAAATTATCGTATGAGCCAGCAACCTCACTTCTGGGTATATATCCAGAAGGATTTAGAGCAGTGCCATGGCTTGTATCTGGATGTCCCCCACAAAGCCTCATGTGATCACAGGTGGGGCTTTTTAGAGGTGGCTGGCTCTAGGGTATGTGATGCTGGGATTAAGAGTGCCCTACCCTTGGTGTGAGTGCTCCCTCAGGGTGGGCAGCCTAAATGGAATATAAGGGACGGACAGAAGGTTGCTGCTATCACTTGCTGCTGTGCTCTGCTGCCTCCTGCCTGCTGTGTGATGCCCATCTGCCACGCCACCCTGCCTTGGAGCCAGCCATAAGATTATGGACTGAAACCTCTACAAACTGAGCCAAAATAAAGTTTCCCTCCTCTAACTTTGGGCATCAGGTATTTTGTCTCAACAACAAAGAAAAGTAACTAAGACAAGCAGAATCCCGAAAAGCTATTTGCACACATTTGTAACAGCACTCTTCAGAAGAACCAAAAGACAGAAGCAAACCAAGTGTCTATTAGGGATGAGTGGATAAACACAATATGGTACCTACTCATACTGGAACAGTACGTACCCCTAAAAAGAAGGGAACATGTTACCATATAGGAACTTTGAAGAAACTATACTACGTGAAGTCAGTCAGTCACAGAGGGACAAATATTGCATAATTTCTCCTAAAGTAGTCAAAATGATAGGGACAGAAAGTAGAATGGTGGTTGCCAGGGGTAAGGGGAAGAGGAAGAGGAGGAGTAATTTAATGGGTATAAAGTTTCAATTCCGCAAGACGGAAAAGTTCTGGAGACTGGCTGCTCAATGATGTGAAGGTGCAGAACACTACTGAACTGCACACCTGAAAATAAATGGCTAAGATGCTAAGTTTTATGCTGTTGTTTTACCACCATAAAAATTTAATACATACACCGAAGGTACTATTTCAACATGTTGTCCATATGAAAATAAACGAGTGTCCAGTATCTCCTGGGTTTCTGCTCTCTCAGGCACTGCCTAGATCTGGACACAAGGGAACTCTCAGTCTGAAAGGAGGGGCCAGACAATCACCAATTGCACGAGGGGGGCACGTACGATGCTGAGGGGTGCAGCGAGGAATACAATTAGCTCCCATGCAGGAGTGAGGCGTGCCAGCAAAGAAGTGTAACGTGGAAGTCATCTACTATCATGACACGGGGGAGTGCACATCCTCGTATTCTGACTTTTCTCAGCTCCTATTTCCAATTGTATTGACCACACACACTCCAGAGAATAAATGTGTACAGGGTTTAATATATAACTTGCATAAAAAACACATGACATAAAAATTCACCCAGAAAGGCACTCAGCGAACCAACACACAGGGGTGACATTCACTAAAATCGTAACAGATCCTTTGTTAATGAGCTCATGTTCCCAGAGTGTGTAGAGACCAAAATGGAGCTGGGACGCACGAACTGCATTTCCCCAAAATAAATGTAATGTTCATTCAACCCGTCTTCAGAAAACCAGAGACCCAGAGTTCTAATGCAAATACCTGATTACTATGCACCCCCAGTAAAACTTGATTTTCTCATTAAAACAAAGATGCAATGATGAATAAGACCTCAGGCCGTGCTGTTTTCTACCCCAAGTCACTGAACAGAAAACTACTCTGTGGTAAAGGAGCCCCTGGCTAAGCAGAACCTCTTTTAACCTCACATTCATGTTCCAGCGGCTCAAACTAATCACAAAGACGTCTTTGTGAAAATTGCGTTTTGCAATAAATTTTCAAAAGCATCACTGAAGATCTTAATGGAAATGGTTGAGCAAGGGATACTAAACAAGGCCAAAAAGATAAGAGAACCACTGATCAGCTCAGTGTGCCGCGGTCTTCAGAGAAAAAGAGTGAGCATCACCAGGGAAAGGAATTACAGACTACAGAAATGATCAACTCAAGTTGGGCCTGATGGCACACACCTGTAATACCCGCCGCTCAGGAGGCCGAGGCAGGAGGATTAAGGGTTCAAATCCCGCCTGAGCAAATAAGCAAGATCTTATCTTTAAATAAATAAATGAGGCTGATGTAGCCCAGGGGTAGAGTACCCTTGGGTTCCATCCCCAGTACTGGGGAAAAAAATCAATTTAATGAACTCACATTAAATCTTCCCCTCCAACTAGTACTGCATTTCCTTCCTTTCTCCCTACCCTAGCTTATCCTCCCCTAAAGCAAATCTTCCAAGAATTTAAATGCTAAAAACTTTACCTTGGTAGATTAATTCAAACAAACTCGTTGCAACTTAGCATTTACTTCTAGGCGTTCAACCCTAAGCTATCACACCAACCTAATGGAATGTAGTGTACTGAGGATCCATTACTTTGCAGGTACAACCAGTAACTCTGGCTCACAATTTAGATTGTATCTTTAAAGTTCTGTATCTGTCATCTCAAATAACGGTGCTTACACTGTAATTATAATTGTTAAGTGGTGTTTGTCACCACAAAAAACACGCATGCCTGCCTTTACAGTAAAGAATACGCTAAAGCATCCACTATTCCTATGAAACAGGGAAGGAGAAATTATTTTCACGCATTAAGCCACCACCTGCAGAGACTACTGTAGAGACCTGTGGTGTAAAAGTGTAATAGCTTCCACAGGGTCCTTAGAATAACAGGTTTTTAAACATACATACCATAAAGACCTGCTCACTAAGAACGCTGCAGCTTCATATACACCCTGGACTACTTCACGGGCAGCAACTCCAAGAACTTCTGAGGCTGACATCGGCTCAGGAGCAGCAGCCCTGGCAGTAACTAAAGTAGTGGTAATAGTACAAAACTTCTAGGTGCTTTCCCCAAGGAGGGGCCCTAACGAAACATCCCCTAGCAGTCAGCAGGAGCCGTGCAGCCCAACACATGGCCACTCGAATTGTTACCATTTTGCCTGACATTGCCTAGCCATGTACAGACTGACCGGCCACAACCCCTGAGGTCCTTCCTATCTCTGTAACACTGGGGCACACCTGCCCAATTGAGCTCACTGAAGGGGATAAATACCTCATCATACCACATTTATTAATACAAAATTTCACACTGTGCTCCAGAATTCAAGTGGCGGGCCTCATGACTTTTGGTCAGCCTTTAGCAATGGTAAGACCTAAAAACCTCACTAGAATCCTTACTGGCTTTCCCAATCAATAACATTAGCAATTTACTTGTGTCTTATTTACAAAGGGCTGATATGGACAAATACCAAATGTGATTTTGGTGCACAGTGATCAAGACATCAATCTTTTCCACTAGTGGAGTCAAACTAAGAGGCTCATCCCTTCACGTGGTTACCAGAACTGCACTCAAAGTCACAAGCTAGAGAAGGTCAAGAGTCCAACAAAGCTTGCAGACGTTTCAATGCAGCTTATACAGTGTCTTAAAGGATCTAAATTAGTTGTCAGTGTTTAAATGTTAGGATATGGAGCCTCAAAATCTCCATTCCTAGATTATCTTGCAATATCGGAATACCTGCCGCTCTGAGACCACATGTCCTCCTGGCCACGATCATGTGACCCTAATGTAGAGGAGCAAATGCTTTCCAACAGGTCACAGTCCTCACCAGGTCAGCTCCCTCACTGCTTTAACTTCAGGCCTCTTCGGCATTCTATTTCAGATCCTAACCCTGCCTTTAATCCCTGAAATAAAAACCCATAACCCAACCTCATTAGTACTATCTCCAAATCCTGTCAATAAACCCACATTTTCACCATTCTATGTGGGTACCGATTATACGGATGAGTTCATTTTCTACAAACATTATTTTTGAAAGTGATTAGCTTGTTACACCTTTAGTTAAAAGTGATTAGCTGTTTTCAATAACTGAGCAGGTCCTTTTCAAGTAGAACGTCCACACGTAGACCTTAGCAGTTAAACCACGCCCTGGTTAAATGAGTTAGCTTAAGGAAAGGAACAGAGATTCAAGCTTTACAATCCCAAAGGCTGAAGTGCTATGTACTTGGTAACAGTTTAGAAAAATGTCATCTTGACATTTTGACACATCCTCCACTCCCCTCAACTTACAGCATACAACAGTTGAGGGCTTCTACAAAGGGGCTTTAAATGCTACCCACAGCCTTGAACAGATACACAACCAACCACATGCCAACTGCCTCTTACCCGGGTATTGCTTACCCATTGCACTGAGATAATGGTTGAAGGCCTGGCAAGGAGGACTTGGGGTTTGTGTTGATTTGTCACAACTCATAGGTGCCGGGCTCCTGTCTGTGTCAAAAGAGAAATACCCACTGGAGGATCGAGACAGCAGGGAAGATCTTCTCACAAAGATGAAAAGCGGGGATCTGGTAGCAAAAGGGCCAGGGCTGGCCGGTGGGGCCAGCGGGCCCTGAGGGCTGCCGTGGGGGCAGCGGTCCCCTTCGCCTTCGGGATTACCTTGGGGCTCCGTCTGTAGGGAGGTCAGGGCCCCAGGCCTGAGCTGGGGTGGCCTCTCAGCAGGCTGCAATTGTCCACCTTCTGTGTCACACTCACTACTTACATCGGAAGGTTGCTTGGCCATTTGGTCTTTTTTTCTGCAAGTAAAAGAAGCAAATCTAAGATTATCCAGCAAAACAGTAATTACAGCGAGATAAATCAGCAAACCTTCACTTATTAAAAACCCTCAAGAGTTCATCCCAAATACAGTATTTTAAAACCAAGCTGTGATGTTGTTTACTTCTCTGACAATCTCTGAAATAAAAATACACTTAAAATAACAAACGTATGATTATCTTTTTTGGTGATGGTGGGGAGGTGGAACCAACCACCAAACAAAACAGTAACAATGTCAATTACTCGTGAAACTGGTGCTTCTACATAAACAAATACACAAGCTGCAAGAGCTGCAGTCTTTCTGAAGTCTATTCACATGTGCTTTTTGCTCGGGACAGACTTGAATCAAGTGAGAAACTCCCAGCGGGCTCTGATTTCCCGGGATCAGATACCGCGCTGGAGCACAGCGGCAGGCGCAGATGCAGCGATTGCAGGCTGCTGCTGGCCGAGTTCCCTGCTCCGGCCCCATTGTTTGCCGAAACTGCTGAGGGCAGCAAGTCTGGGGAAGGTTTGGCAGCGGCCGTCAGCCGTAGTAAGTGCGTCACAATAGAGTTTGTAACTCTGAGCGCGGCTGGCCCGGCCCCGGCGCTCTCCGCCCCCGTCCCTGCGGGTCCCGCCGGCGCGCCGCACCGAACCGGACAGAACTTCCCCGACCTGCAGCCTTACTGCTAGGTGCACATCTCGAAGTGTGGGACCCCCCTGCCCCGAGCCTTCCCCTGGCACCCCGTGCAAAGTCCGCAACTAGCTCCGCGCGCGCTCGCCAACACTTGGCGCGCCGCCCCTCCACCCCAGACCTCCCCTACCTAGGCCACCGCACCGCCGCCACTCACGTCCGCCCCTTCCCTTCCGAGCGTAGCGTCCGCGCCCCGGCCGGGGCCCCGCGGCGTCCAACCCGCGCCCTGCGCCGACCCGGCGGCCCCTGATTGTCACCGTAGAGGCGGCACAGGAGACTAAGCCCGGCGCCCGGGTTCAGAGCCCCCCGGGCAGCGCAGAGCCCACGCCTTCCCGCCC